GGTCCAGTGAGGAAGATCATCTACAGCACTGTCACTAAAAGAGTCCAGAAACAAACTAAAAACCTCTACCCTGCTCCGTTCCAGATTATTGAGGTAAAGAGTACACTTATGGGTGAAGATAAACACATTAGCGCATGATGTTGCTGCTGAGTGTCTCATGCTGTCTTATTTTAATGTGCAGTGTGTTAAAACTGGCATAGAGCATGGCAGTAACGCAGGTTATTTGGCTGAAGCTCAGGTGAGTTGGACTAACAGAATTTTTTTTTTTTCTCACTCAGATGGATTTTTTTTTTTTTTTTTTAAATCCTCCTGGCCTTTTGGTAGATGTCATACATGTGCTGCATTTTGACCATTGTGACCTTTTGTGTTTTGCTGGGTGTTTTTTCTGTTTTGTTTTTTCACTCTGTAGTTAGTGTTGGGAAAAGAGCAGAGTTTGGGTTACAACAGGAACCTTCCTCATTCATCAAATGATGAATGTGGAGTGACAGACTCCTCTCACTAATGCCATAAGTATGTGCATAAAGCCCCATCACCAATGAACACCTTAGGCCTAAACGAGTCATGCCAAGAGCTTTGACAAAATGGCATTAATTGATGTCCCGGGAATGAGAATGGGCTGCTTAACAGTTTAGGCTTGTGGGTTTCATTGATGACTCTATAATCAAGTTTTTGGATTTGTTGTTGTTAAAGAGACTAATTGTATTTGTTAAATTCTTGTTGCTTTTAACCCTTCACAGAGCTTTGGTAAGTTGGTGATGACTTCTGAATCCAAAGCTTTGATTGGACTTCACAATGGTCGTTTGTTGTGTAAGAAGAACCGATTTGGTCCCCCTGAAAAGGAAGTAAAGTAAGAACTGTAAACAGGGGTGATTTATGTTGCCATATGCATTTGCTGTCTATATACAGTTGCCTCAGCGATAGCAGTAAGACACCTGTACAAAATGTTTGCAACAGAAAGCTGGCCATTCTGGGTGCAGGGCTAATGGGAGCAGGTATAGCACAGGTATCTGTAGATAAAGGCCTCACCAGCATCCTAAAGGACACCACAGAGGATGCCATCAGCAAAGGATATGAAAAGGTTTATAAAAGGTAATATAAACGCATTCTATATTATTTATTTATTTTATTTATTGAAAAATAAAAGTGGCTTTACAGTTTGAAGTATTTTTGTTTGTTTGGGGGTTTTTTTTTTTTCTCCTCAAAATGTTCTTGATCTTCAGTTTCGACACCAAGGTGAAGAAGAAAGCCATGATATCATTTGAGCGTGACGCCATTATGTCTAATCTGTCGATTCAGACGGATTACTCTGGTTTTGAGTCTGCTGACATGGTGATAGAGGCTGTGTTTGAAGACCTCAACATTAAACATAAAGTCCTCAAGGAGGTGGAGGCAGTGAGTGCAGTTTTGCTTGAACTACTCTGTCTTTAACTGTTTTAGCTAGAGGTGGTTAAATTGGCATTGAAAATGTATTACAATAAATGGGCATCTAAGAACTTCTAAATTACTTTGAGCAAGAACTGGTGCAGAACTAACCTGTTTGGAGAAATCTCGCCTTAATTTAGGTTTTAACTTGAGAAAATTCTCAGGCCAACCCAAAGTAACTGTTAAAGAACTTAGTGGGATTGATGTAGATGAGGCTTTCCTTTTCTTGTTTGGAGTTTCAATCATTTTTGAGAAGCTTTTGGTTGCATGCAGGTAGTACTATGTCATTATTATTCTAGCATAGCTATATTAGCTGTTTAACAGTTTTTTTTTTCTGTCTAAGACTTATTTGCATTAATAAGTAATCACTGGCATGTGGAATGTGAATTCACTAGCTGACTATGGCTATCTTGGCTGCTACTGCTACTTTCCAGAATAATGTCCAGATAGCTGAAGTTATAAGGAAATGTACTCTTCCCCTCCCCCCCCCCCAGGTTACCCCACCACACTGCATATTTGCGACCAACACCTCAGCTCTACCCGTCAGAGACATCGCTGCTGCCAGCAAACGCCCTGAAAAAGTCAGAAATGCTCCAAACTTTTACTTTCAACATATCTTCAGTGTGTTACAGTAATTTTAAAAAAAATGTAATGTTGATTCATGCTTGCACAGTTGAGTTCTACCTTAATTTTCACTTGACTTTCTTGGTGATTATTATCGTGGCTTTAAAATAATGGCTTCTCAACATATTATTGAGAATCTTTATTTCCTGTGTGATGTTTGACCAATTTGCATATGTGCCTGTGCAGGTGATTGGCATACACTATTTCTCCCCAGTGGACAAGATGCAACTGGTGGAGATTGTCACCACAGATAAGACATCTAAGGACACGCTGGCTGCTGCTGTCAGCGTGGCCCTAAAACAGGGAAAGATTGTTGTCACTGTCAAGGTGATGGCAACTCTGAAAGTGTTCTTCAGTCAGTATTTCAGCCTATGTGAATCTTATTTTCATCTTAGTCATTTTGCTCATTATTCTATTATATTTTGGTGCATGTCTCCATCTTGTGTTGCTCTCTTTCTGCCTCAAAACCCACTGAACTACAGGATGGTCCGGGCTTTTACACCACGCGCTGCATGGGTTGCTTGCTTATGGAGTCTCTGAGACTTCTTCAGGTAATCAAAGACTTGGAGAAATAATAGTGTTGCCAATTTTTCCCTGCTAAAGAAATGGTTGAGCATCAGGTCCCAGTAATTATTTAAAGCATTTATTTTTATCTTTTTACATTTGCTTTAAAATAACCCACATTTTGTTCCACAGGAAGGTGTGACCGCAACAAAAAGCGATTTCCTAGCAACAAGCTTTGGTTTTAATGTCGGACCTTTCGCAGTCACTGATGAAGTCGGTGTTGACATAGGATTACATATTTCAGAGGTAATCTTTCACTTACTTTGAACACAGCCCATGTTGATTTAGATTTTTGGGACAGATGGGATTTTGTATTCTGTGTTTATTGTTGGATTTAGATGCTGTGCAAAGCCTTCGGTTCCCGTTATAAAGGAGGAAGCCTGGAGATTGTCAAGACCATGTTGGAAAAAGGCCTCAAAGGTTAAAACATTTCACATTAAAATAGGGGCATTATCACTCACTACTAATTTGTCACGCACTCATGCCTAAGTATTGGAATTGATGAGAATTTAGCGATTCCGATTGCATTAGGGATATTACTGATTTTTACTATTTGATTTGATTCTTTTATGGATTTTCATTCTGTTCTCTGACTTCGCTTTGAGAGTCATCACCACCTTAAAGCAAGCAGGATATCAAAGACATTAATTTTTTTTTAAATGAATTGCATTTTGAGTGGTCAAATGTAAAGTCAGACATCGTCTACCTACATCAGTTTTACATTCAGAAAAGTCAAATGGACTCTACCATGAACTCCTAAGAAGAAAGAGAGGTTACAATGGACACATTTGTTGACTGCTGATAAAAGTGATGTTTGTGTTCTGCCTTAGCTAAGGAGATGATGCTGAAGTGTGTTCCAATTTATGATGACTTTTTGGGCTGGAGCCTATCCCAGTTGTCTTAGGGCAGACTTAGTTTAAATATTAAGGGTTAAGAATATCATTGAGATGAATTTTTCTATAACAGGAACTGTTACCCTAAAATGGTGACTTTAATATAATCAAAAATGGATTTATCTTGCTACCTGATTTCTAAAATCTAACCCTGTAAGGGCACAGGTTTCTAAGACTTAGGAACACGTTTGAGGATCAGCTTACCATTCACACAAACACGATTCTAATGCTTTATTTTTAAATTATAGGTTGTAAATCTGGAAAAGGATTCTTTCTCTATGGAAAGACTAAGAGTGTGAATCCTGAAGTAGAAGAAATTCTCAAGAACCATCAAGTGACTGCTCCCTCTGCAATGTAAGAAAACAGCCTCTCGTCTGATCTACTAATTGCCCTGTTCTGATCTGTCTCTCTGAAGTTATGTGTTTGCTGCAGTTCTTCAGAATACGACATGCAGTACCGGCTGCTGTCTCGCTGCATAAACGAGTCGTTAATGTGTCTCCAGGAGGGAATAATACAAAGCCCTCTAGAAGGAGACATTGGAGCAGTGTTTGGGTATGGGTTTCCTCCCATGCACGGTGGTATGTCTCCGACATTTGTATACTTTTGAACTAGATATTTATATTAGTAAACTGATGGTTATCGATTGTGTTGGTGCTAATCGACCTTTTGTTATTCCTACATTTATCAGGTCCGTTCAGATTTGTTGACACATTTGGTGCAGAGCGCCTTGTGAGCCTCATGAAACGTTTTGAGGATGTTTATGGAAACCAGTTTACACCCTGCCAGCTTCTACTAGACCACACCAAAGACCCCAGCAAAAGGTTTTACCAATCATCCCCCTCCCTGCTTCAATACTAAAAACAACATAGCGTTTTGAGAGAGGGACTAGTCCCCCCTTTGGTATGTCTGAACTGTTAGAGCAGCAAATATGCCAGTTTGTTTGTTCCAAGTTCAAATAAGTGAACGTGAAGGGATTGCAGTGATATGTCTTCTAAGATCAAACTAAAGGAATCAACCTAAAATAATCCAAGGAAAGATTTCAGAATAAGGTAACGGCTCATTTATGAAAATAAGCTGCTATTAAAAAATAATTGTATAACTATAAACAACATTTCTAGGAGACCAAATGGTCTATTATAATTATCTACCAGCTTTACAGATTTCTGCTTACATCATTTATATAATCAGAAAGTGATACTTTCATGTATTATGTGTTATGGCTCAAGTGGGTGTGACCACACAACCTTTTTCTTTTCATCTTTTTGGGGTGTTTTCTTTCTTTTAATTTATTTATATTTTTTATACAAATTGTGGTAATGTGTCCAACCTCCCCTGACCTATGCTAAATTAGCCATAACCCATTTTGGCCCGCAACATGACCAAATGAAGCCCAGATGTTGCAGCTATCTGGATTCTATCTGGCACCAGTGTTAACTCAAACTCCCAACAACCAAAATAAAAAGTGAAGGTTGCATTAAAACATCAGGTGTCATTCAGTTTATTTTTTTGATCACTCCTTTATTTCTTCAGTGGCTTTGTAGTTACAAGATTGCAGAGTAGATCAGTATTACATGAGTGTAGTAGATCAGAGTGAAACTTTACTTCAGCTTTTGCCCTGGCTGAAACCCATCAAATCTGGGGATAATAGTAAAAAAAATTACAGGTAGTGATTCACAACAACATAAATTGCATTGTCAGTTATTTGGATCATTTGGATGATCTTGCTTTGTGATTGCCCTCAGTGTAGCCAGTTATATTACAATACTGTCCTCAGGATACACCCCTCAAATAGAACACACAGGTAAGAGGGGGGGGGGGGCATCTGCCACTCTCTCAGCAGATTTGTACATTAGCAGATTTGTTCAACGGCTCAGTAACACAAATATCTAGTCAACCACATGACAGCAACTTAGTGTATTTATGCATGTAAACATAGCAAAGATGACCTCCTGAACTTTAAATTGAGCATCAGAATATGGAAGGAAGATGATTACAGTGACTCTAAATGTGGCATGATTGTTGGTGCCAGATGGGCTGGTTTGGGTATTTCAGAAACTGCTGATCTATTGGGATTTTTGCCACACAACCATCTCTAGGATTTACAGAGTAGTGTTGTTTTTTTGTTTTTGTTTTTTAAAGGGAAAATATCTACTAAGCAGCAGTTGCCTTGTTTGGTGCCAGAGGTCCGAGAACAACCAGAATGCTTCAAGCTGACAGGAAACCAACAGTAACTCATGTAACAACTCATTACAACCAAAGTACACAGAAGAAAACCCCTGAACGCACAACAAGTCGAACATTTAAGCAGATGGGCTACAGCAGTAGGTGTCAGCTAAAATGAAACTCAGGCTACAGTTTAGATGGGCTCACCAAAATTGGATAACAAAAGACTGAAAAAACTCTGCCTGAATCTCAATTTCCGCTGTGACATTCAGATGGCAGGGTCAGAATTTGCATAAACATGAAAGCATGAATCTATCCTGGCTCATAACAACTTCTCAGGCTCCTGCTGGTGGTGTAATGGTGACCATGTCTATGCCTTTATGGGCACAGTGTATTAATCTGATGGCTAATTCCAACAGGATAAAAATTTCAAACTGTGGTTTTTGAACACACCAATGAGTTTGCTGTACTCATGGCATTTTTGGCATGTGGTGAAAAAGGAGATTCACATCACAGATGTGTAGTCAACAAATCATGTCAATGTAAGCCAAATTTTCCAGCACCTTGTTGAATCTATGCTACAAAGAATTAATACTTCTGAATACCAAGGTGTAAAAATATCTCATTTTTAATGCTCTAAGAAGAGAAACTGAAGTGTTGTGCTTATTATCATTTTTCTGACTCAGTGATTTTAGGTAGAATTTTTTTTGTTTATTTATTATACATTTTTATGTGAGTTTCTTTTTAATTCATTTAACAAACTTCACAGCTGTTCTGTCCAAGACTTAATAACTTGGGCTTTTTTATGCTATGTAGAAAAGCAAAGAGTAGCTGTGTTAACTTATTACAAAATTCGACTACATTCATTATCAGTTTCTAATGTCTGCTATCTGAAGATGAGGTTTGTGCTGATAACCTCATGCTCGGCCAGGTGGAGCAAGTTCAATGAAGAATTCTCCCCTGTCTCTCTCGCTGTTGCTTTTCTGTCTTTATTTTAGGTCATCTGCAGATGTTACAAGAGATTATAACAGAAACAAAGCACTCACAGATGGATCTAAAACAGTGGGTGAAAAAGGCAGCAAAGGTAGTGGCAGAAATATTAGCTTTCCAAGGAAACTGAGTGGTGACAATTCCTGATATTGTAGGACTTTGAGCAATCTATGTGGATGAGAAATCTGAGGTACTCTTACAACTCCATTTCTGAGTTTGACTATAACACTCATTGTTACCTTTAAAGGGACTGTTAATAAAAATATCATCCCTCCCGAAGCATAGACTGACCTGTACCAAAAAAAATCAGTCCAAAACCTCAGTAATTTTGTCAATGACTGCTCAGAGGTCTGATATTTTTCATATTTTCCTCATTTTTCTTTTGAAGGTAGTTTTAATTTACAACAACCTCCTACTTTATCTGTGCCAATTACATTCCACTGAAACTCAGTGAATAAAGAAGGATGTCTAAATGACCTGTATAGGGTCAAAATGTTACAATTCCTTAAATTACCTTGTCTTGAAATTAATTTAACACCTATTGATGACTAAATAAAGTGTCTAAAAAGTGCTGAAATTCTGTTCATTCATCAAATCTCATTTAAAATAAAATGATAGAAATTTCCCCTGCATATCAAATTCTAAGTTGAACGGTGTGAACGCCACACATTGTTTAAATCAGACTTTAAGTTCCAAAGAGGGCAGTCTTATCCTGGAGCTCTCTGTTGTAGCCATTTGTTAGTAAACTAGTGCCAGACTGTGATTCAGACAGGAAACATGTCAGTCTGACTTTGAGCATTAGAGCCAGTCAAGTGTCAATTCTACAGTTTGACCACAGTGTGGCGTAGTTTCCTTCAGTTTCATTCATTGGGCTCAGCAGCCAGTTGGTCACAGTGGAAGGCACATTCAGGGAGGCTCAGCAGCCAACAGGCACATTCTCAGGACAGTGTGTATATTAGATTTTGGGCCTCCAGCCCTGTATGAATTGTGTGATCTTGGTCACATGGAGTCGGCTCAGGTGGAAGTCATGTGACAAGATATCTTCAGTCAGCTGCACCAGCAGGCTGCCATCGATTCGCTCCCTTTGGAACACGGACACCGCTGCCTCTGATAGGCCAATAAACCGCAGGCAAGCTGAGACTTCCTCCAGTGACAGAGCAGACAGGTCAGCGGGAGGTCGCCAGGTAGGGTCAGGGAGCGGGGACAACCCCTCAGGGACTCCTGTTGATGTCCCACCACCCTCCGCGCCTCTGGAAGAATCTGTTGTGGAATTGGGAGCAGGCTCAGGCGAGGGGCAAGGGGACTGGCGGTTGAAGGGGTTCAACGCCCCAAAGGGAGCAAATCGACTCTGTGGGGGTGGCGGCCTGAGTCGAAGTCCAGAGGAAGTGAAGGAATCCACCCATGGCTCTGCCCAGGTGGCTTGTGCAGGCTGAGGATTGGCTGTGTTGTCTGTAGGGATGCCAGAGACAGGCTCAGGACTAGTAGGATTAGGGGCAGAGCAGTCACCCCAAGAGCACGGGTAACAGTAGAGGGAGGCATCGGGGGAGGGGGAGCAACTGGGACAAGACAGAGAAAATGGAAATGTTACATATCAGCTACATATCATATTTACAAAAGTATTTAAATGACCATATTTCAAGTTCCAGCAGCTACCTGCTGAAAAATTCTCCTTAGCTTGCTGTCAATTCATAAAAAATGTATCATTCCATATATCGTCTATTTATAGAACAAGCAAGCAATCAATATGGAGCTTCATATTGTAAAATGGCATTGCTTTCTGTGCTTCTGTCAGTTCAGATTAGATAACCTTCCCATACTTTCTTTCCATATACCTTATAATCTTCTTTAAAGGGCAAGAACGGGAAATCTGTAAGCAGTAACCTTTCAGAGCTGAAAAATGCAGCCAAAAAAAAGACTTCCCCGCATGTTGGTGACTTATCAGACAAATATTATTGCTCGTCAGGTGGGTTGCACTAAGGAAAAAACAATCTAAACTTGAGACTTGAAAATAGAAGTCCACAAACTAATGGGTGTCTACATCCATATCTTTTGGACATTTTTCATTGCAATTTATTTGGAAACAGCCATTGCAGTAGCTCTGTTTGAAGCTACAGTATTTGGACTCTTGCAGTAGTTTGGAACTCGAGGAACTTCATTCTCTCCCTTTTCGTGTAATCAATCATGTCAAGCAGTGAAACCAGAAAAGGCTTTCAATCCTCTCTAAAATGATACCAGTATGTCAAAATAAGGATTTACGCATTACGTGTTTTATACTGTACCTGTCCTGTAGTCCAGAGGAGTAAAAGGAGATGTTTGGTCTCGGGGAGGTGGATGTTTTGGGGAAGCGAGGTGGAACAGGAGGGCTGGGAGCTGGACTGGAGATGGAGCCTCCTTTGGAGCAACGAGGGGGAACTGGAGGGGCGATCAAATAGCGACACTCCTCTCTCACCTGCAAGCACAAACCACACACACAGAAACATAAGCATAACAATAACGCACACAACAGCCAAATAAAAAAAGGTTAATCTTAAAAATAGACTTCTCAGGAGGCTTTGTGCAAGTGTGTGCGAGTGTGAGTGTGTGCAACACATAGTAAATGTCAAACTTTGTGACCTTTACAACTCAAACAAACTCCTTACACACAGTAGCAGCATCTAGACACACACACACACACACACACACACACACACACACACACACACACACACACACAGTGTCTTGGCAGGCTAAATATCAGGAGAACGCTATGTGTGACAGGGTATAATCCAGTTGCAGAGGAGACGTCAACACCCACACAAACCTTTCTGTTCCGCTGCCCTTACATTAAAAGGAAAAAAAAGTTAATTAAACAAAACAAAAGCATGAAAATGTGCGCTTTACAAACAACATACACAGTTACACATGGACACCATTGCCTGGGAAGACTCTTAGAAATGTGAAACAGCTCAGTAGGTAAAACAACATCGCTTTCAATAGGACACCATTTCCTCTTTATAAAGACAAGAAAAAAGAGATGTTTTAATTCATGGAAGTGCTGGTCGACCCCCAGCTTTAAGGTCAACACTAGAGCTGTACAGAAAATGCATTACGATATTAAAAAAGAACCTTTATAGTCTACATAAAGCCTGACTTGCACCAGTTTGAGTGTTAAAATTAATCTAGTAAATTTCATCATACATCATGTAATGCACGTTATACATTTCATTATGCGCTACAAAAGGAATATTTTAAGGAAAGTCTGCATTTTTGCTGTACAGCAGCATTTAGGGGAAAACAGTGGAGGTGATTAATTCATTTGTAATCAGTAGAACAACAGTTATTTGGTCTCAGCAAAAGTAAAAAATACCACAAATTCACAAAAATGTACAAAGAAAGCTAACAATATATCACCTGCAATGCTTATTTTCTGAAAAAAAAATTCCTAGGTATGACCTTCTCAGACTTTTCTGTAACTCAATGTCAAGCCAAACCCTGGGAACTCTGACGGAGCCAGTCAATGAGACTTTAATGGGAGATTTCCTGGCTCCAAATGGGAACTTGAAGGGGTGACTATGCATGGAAGCATGATCAGTCCATTTACAGTAAAGGTAATGTGTTAGTCACACATCTTTGAATTTCTATGTTATTTAAAGAGAGAAAATCAATGACACATGCTAGCTTAGGAAAGAGTAGGGTTTAGCTGCTGAATAACCACTCTGCTATTGAAGTTAGGACCTTGCTGCATATGATATTAAAAAGAGCAAACTAAAACAACCATGCCAATCAAGTCTGTGGAAATTAATTTCCTTTGGTTATTTTCAGACTTGTGATTTTTTTCCCATTTTTTTCTTCTGGTCTCGGCAAGTTAATTCACACAATAATCCATAATCCAAGTAATCCTTATAATATTAAAAAACTGAAATGCTCTATATGTTTAAGAAATTTCTCCTAGGAGTTGTAGTGCTGATTTATAGCAATCACATTAAAAAGCTTCAGCAGTCTTAATAGCTTTAGCTTTCGGTTCAATTCATTAGAAATAATCAGCCACAACCTAAAAACCACTAATGAGTGAAGTGAACGACAGCACTGATTCTCTCTAGTTCTGCTTGCAAATCCTGGGTCCTTACATTGATGGAGATAAGTAGACACGTACGACCAACCCAGGTCAATAACAGCTCCCATGGCAATGTGGAGCTGATGATAGTGGTTTCTCCTAAAAGAACAATCCTCCCCGAAATACTGCAAAAACTCCTCGAGAACATGGAAAAAATACAAAGACACTGACTGGTTATCCAGACATGACAGATCCCAATCTGAGCTGTGGAATGTGCCAGAACATTCCCAGAGGATCCACTACCTTTGTTCCAGGACATCTTAAGGGATCCCATGTCTATGGAGAAACAGGTTAGAGCCATTTTGGCAGCACAAATAGGCTTACACAACACTGTGTACGTGGTGTTTATGTTGAGGCTGACCAGCTTATGTATCTCTATCTATCTATGTATATCTGTATGTGCTATAAGAGTAAGGGTGGTGTATTGCAGCATTTCCAGTCAGTGTGCATTACAGTCAGTGTGCGCTTGTATTTGCGTTGAGTGTATCAGTGGGGTTTAAGAGCTGTTGTGTATGAATAATTCAAGGCAGCCATCCTGACTTTTAACAGCCGGATGCTACTGTGGACAGATAAGAAGGATGACAGACTGAAGAACGAGAAGATGGATGGGAGGCAAGGACTGCAACTCACAGCATCAGATTTTGGAGGTACAGGTGGCGGGGTAGACACTCTTGTCACCACGGTACCAAGAGAACCATCCAGTGAGGAAGATGAATGGAAGGATATGAGGTTTGGCTCCTTTCCTAAGCCCTCTGCATTTTGATTGGTCCAGAGTTCCTCATAAGGGATTTCCTCAGCGGTCCTCATTTCACCCTCAGTCCATTCAGGAGTCACATACTCCCTCTCCTCACCTGGCCCCTCCCCTAGCCGCTCTCCCAGGGAGTCCCTGCAGCGCTGAGATACGCTGTCTGAGACTCCACCAACATACCCGCACATTGAGAGACGCTGCAGTGCCGGTGCCAATGAGTCCTGGCTCGACACGCACACGCGAGAGCGCCGTGGGCTCACACACTCCTCAGTCATACACTCCAATTCTGGCCGAGTTTCTCTAACAGCACGAGAGTAGGCATCTGGGTCAAATGCATGTCGCAGAAGAAGGCTCTCCAATGCTGCTTTGTGCACTGAGGCCTCGGCCACATTAAACCGGGGCATGCAACGCAGCAACAAAAAGTGGGAGGGGGAGACTTCCTGATGGCGGAGAACCATGCAGAGCACCACCGTCTTGCTGACTATGTTGAGCAGCTTGTAGCGGTGGCCCTCTCGTACTGCGTGACGGTCGTAGGGGTTTCGTGGCGGCCTCGACGGCACAGACACGTTGACGGGGAGGCGGACTCTCTCGATGATGCTGCGCACCGTGTGCTCCCCCCCCAGCATGCCTTGCTCCAGTGGAGAGCGTGTGCAGAAGCGTCCACGGCAGCCAAAGGGCAAACTGACACTTTGATTGGTGCGATGGTTCATGCAGACCAGGCAGGGCGTTTTACCTGAAGAGACAAAGAAGATATTTAGGAGTTCACGGGTGGATCAGTCCTAACACAACAATAATACAATTTTAACTTTTTCAAAAATGTCTATGTTTGAACCACAAATCCACAGATTTCAATGTGAAGTGAATACCTTTGATCTTCTTGTTACAGCGCAATGTTCTGCTGGGAAACTCTGGGTTCTGAAAGTTATTTTCACATGCGCCAAATACCACCCCCTCCCACCCACCAATAGCAACAGGATATCTTCAACACAAGTGACCTCCACTAGCAGGACAATGTGCCCAGCCACGCTGTAAAAAATGCTCGAGAATGGCTCTAGGACCACACAAAGAGTCCAATGTGTTCACTGCCAGGTCTGGACTCCCAATCCGCAGGACTCATCGAGGCCCTACCCTGCAATCCACAGGACCCATAAGATCTTCTGCCAACGAACAGCCCCAGGGAACCTGTGTCCATGCTCCGACAGGTCAAAGCTGTCTTTTGCGGCATGAAGGACACCTAAACAATATCAGGCAGGAGGCTTAAATGTTGCGGCTGACTGGTATTCTTCAAAAAAAAAAAAAGGAATCAACTTCAGCAACCTTCAGTTCTGCCAGTGCTTTTGTTTTCCTCGTTCTCGTGTGCATGTGCTACAACTGAAACGGGACTTCATAACTTTACAGCTCAATAGTTCAGCCTGACTTACTTCTGGGAGTCTTTCCTAGTCGTCTAAGAAGCGCGCTCAGTCCCGTCTTTTCCTTTGAGGGAGTGGCACAGAGAAGCTCTGCTTTCCCCATGAGCGACAGCTCATCTCCAGCCTGCAGAGTGAAACTGTAGGGCTCACTGTCTTCACTAAATTCCCCTGAAACAACCTGCAACACAGACATGGATGTATATGTGTATAAGATATTGCATGACTCAGGGATTAATTACTATAAAAGTACTGTTGTGGTTAATTAACTACCTGTAGTTAAAAGCCACTCCCCATCCATGGACCTTTTTTTTGGACCAAATTCTCGTCAGCCAATCATGACCTCGAAAAAAGAAGTCTATATCTAAATTTGGTTAAACAAAAGTGAAAAGTCCTCTTTTGAGGCTATTATGGAAAACTTCAATGCAACTAGATTTCACCCACCATTTCATGTTTTACACCTAGTTTTTGTTTCAGTAATACAAACATCCTTGCCTTTGTTTTTTCATTTGTTATAACATATTTGGATATGAAATGACTGTGATCAGACAGCCACACTTCAAGCATCCACTTCGAGTGCACAGTCTGAGGAGGTTGCAGAAATGTTGAGAAGGAAGAGTGTCCCTTCACTTTTCAAACAGCTTAGAAGAAGGCTTTTCACCTTTCAGTTTTGACCAAATCTTAATGCTGTTTAGATTTCATTAAAGCTGTCTTTATTGTCTATTCAGTGTCTGTTCGCTTTCTTTCAAACACGTTTTTGCTGTGGTGGTAAATAGGGCAAAGCTGAAGTGGAAATTCATTATAGGCGTGCCTTACTTTGACACTGAAAGTGATCGTCTCCATGACAAAAACTCGGTCTGGAAAGGCACCAGCAACCTCCTCCACACTAGAGAAATACTGGACTGGATCCCTGACGTCCCGGTCTTCATCCAGCAACTTGAATTTGCCTATAGAGAAGATCGGTGTGATACAGGAGGAAAGAAAGGGGTGAAGAGTGGCAAAGGAAATGAGAGAGAGGACAGAAGAAGATTATGTTGAGAGATGGGAGAAGAGAAACAGTGAAAAGAGGTAGGAAGAGAAGAGTGGAAGGGGAGAGCGAGTTAGGAAAAAGCCAGAGGCGGGGAAAAAGAGCGGGTGAAAAGTTCCTTTTCGGCTGCCTATAGTTTCACTATAAAAGCACACATACATCTGCAGCAGAGGAATATAAAGACACCTCGGTGACCTATGACCTGGCACCAGCTCTTTCCCAATCGACAGCCGACTGGGTTGCCACGGTAACGAATAAAGGACCCCCATTCTCACGCAGAGCAGAGACACATCACCATGGAGACACTTACACATACACTGTCACGCACACACACAAACTCATCCCTCTCTCTCTTTGACTCTTTCTGTCCCTTGCTCATCCCCTCGTCTGTAAATCTTTCACCCTCCTGAACTTAAGTTTTGTGCTGTTGAAGCTGTAAATATTTCTTTTTGCCTTTTTGCCTCTTTTCAACATTGAAAAGAGTCATTTAACAGCCCGCAAACCAAACCGACATTGTTCAAAGGACATTTTAAATGCTTCGCTCCTGTTGGCCAGTTTATCAGACTGCAATTGAACGACTACATCCTTTCGAGGATCCTCCTTCTTTTCACAGAGTCAGAGTTTGAATGAACAAGAGAAGTTTTTTTTTTTGTTTTTTTTGTCTGGTAGACAGAGTAGAATACCAAACTCCACCATCATCTACGCCAGAAGCTCTCTCATTCTCTTTTTCTTCCATCCCCCACTTTCCAATTCAAAATGAGCCCCTAGGATAAGGAGCTTCCACCCACCTAACAATACCAGCAAAATCCCACTTTTCAACACAACCCACCACCCCCTCAAAGAGTAGGAGTTGGAAATGAAACAAGGTTTACCACCAACCTAAACAAAGCCCTGCTCAATTCTGGAAATGCATATTTAGTCAAAAGTGAGATTCCAAATGTCGCTGATAGGCAACAGAACACAGATGTGACGTCATATTAAAAAGCTGCTCTTGCTATATGATAAAGCAGGCTGGTATTTGTAAAGGCTTCCACATAAGGCTTTTGGCCACTGGGTCCACCTTACAAGGGTGGTTGCAGCCTCAGTTGCTTCCCTTAATCCCATTCATGATAAGTGATCATTCAGCTTTTCTGTCCTCTGTCATCCCAGCCTCTCAGTGATGGGTAGACGAGGATGCAGACAAGCAGGGAGGAGAAGAAGGAGGGAGGCATCCTGTTGTCCATCCCCACGGGGAAACCTATATTGCACTCATCCTACGCTTATTTAGACTTCCTGTATGAAGTCATCACAGAGACATTAGCTCATCACAGACGACGGCCTGTGATTCCAAAGCAACTCATCTAACATATTTAAAGGGACACAAAAGTAGTGCTAAAAGGATGCGTTCACGTAAATGCGTCTTTTTCGGATCTGTTGGAATGCATCATTAAGTAAGTAAGTAAAGAGGATGTCAGGCTGAAGATTTGCTTCAGGGTCTCCTATTTGATTTCATCACATAAAAAAACACTCTTTGATTACGAACACACTTTTTCACGATTGCAAACTGATTAGGCACAAATAAGAAACAACTATATTTACTGCAAACAAACAAACAAACAAAACAAAACAAGTAAAGTCAAGGATTACAGCCAGAATAGGTCACTAAAAGAATTATGGAGCTGCAGCCTTCTATCTTTAAAGCTGGACAGATACTCCTTTTTAATTAAATCTTGGAAGCACACAGCATGTTTTAATCAGCTTTTCTCCGTGGCCAGAACTTTTATGTTCGAACTGCACGGATGAGCTGACTGGCCACAACAAGGGCTCTAAACCCACTGAATGTAAGCAAGGGACCTTTGGTTGAGTTTGTCCATTGTTGCTGTGTTTAGTGTAGTGAAGAAGAGAGAGGGGCAACATTACTTTGTGCAATTCTTGCAAGAGGAAAAGAGAAAAATAGGGGGTCACAGCTGGCTGGGAGAAGCAGACAATACAGTCTGTTTGTTGTGTGTTGATTTTTGTCAGAGCTCTGCCTAAGACTACAGTGTGAAAGTCAAGTCATATAAAAGACTGTCTGCTGATTATTCAAGCAATTAATTGAGGGCCGTTACACGCTGGGAGTGAGAACATAAAAGAACAACTCACTTTCCCAGATCCTGAAATTAGGCATTAATATTAACCACTTTTTGAGCTTACAAGAGGCTATACAGATCTTTCCTGTTTATACTGATAACACCCCAAAAGTTCTACATGAAAAAGGATTATAAACAGAAACGTTGGAAAAAATAACCAATGCTAATGAACAATGCCATTAAGTTGAAAAAATCTGCATATCTCCGACTCTGCATAGATTTATTTATTTATACATCTAGGAGTTTACTAGAGCAGCTTTAAACAGTCAGTCCAAAGTAATTCCCATTTATCCTTTAATGAGCCTTGCACCTCCTTAGTTATGACTATAGGAAGGATATCCCCTCTCCATGACATCATGCAGAGCCAAGAGTGAAAAGAAAAGCCTGAGCTGAGTCTGAAGCCGGAGCTCTTTGGCTCACAGGACTTAAGCTGACCTTATTAATTAAAATATTTCACCATCTTTAATAAGCATTCATGAATATAAGAATAAAACAAAAGCTTGCCTTTATTGTGCGTATTATAATTTATAGCTTTCAATCCAATCTCAACACTAAACCAATAAAATAAGTTTAAAAAACAAAGAAACTGAACAAACTAGTGAATCGTTGTTACCTTTATTGGGCATTCTTTATTCTACTTGGTGATATATATATATTTGCTATTTTATTACTTTCTGTGTTTCTAATCTCTGGGAAATACTAGCTGTCACGTGTTTCAGATATGAAATGCTGAATGATCTCAACATACTCCCCCCTCCCAGCCAAATGTTGTAGCGTGAGGTGACATCAGCACTCCATCAGTGGAGGAAGCAATGGAGAGAAGGCATTAAGATCCAGTTACACTGAGAATAATGTGACTGGGTTGAGAGTCGGAACAATGGGATGGTGGGGATGAGCTCCGGTGAGGTCATGCTGGCTAGACTCATTCAGCAGGAAGACGCGAGTCAATGGACAACTGGAGTCAGACAAAGTCACATGGTACACGAGTGAATGTGTGAATGAAGGTGGTAGTAGAAGATGTGCTCATCTGTACATTAAGAGTTTAAAGTACACAACTCCTCCGCAAAGAGATTCTATTATGCTTTTATTCATTTCCTGTCTGTTATAATGATCATATTAAGGATAGGAAAAGTTTTATACTGCATAATGAGGGACGAAAGCTCAGGTTTAAGTAAACTTGTTTAGAGTTTTTCAACTTTTGGATCTGTATAATATCAGAGTGCGTGGATGTCCATAATATGGCCACCTCAGGCACAAGGCTCTGAATGTCAAAAGATGACCCCCGCACATCTCTCTTTTAAACATTCTGTTTGTGAGGGACAACCAATCAGATAAAAGTTGTTTTGAAATGGGGAGGAGCTAAGAATAGCTTGACTACACCAAGACCCAGTATAAATTAAATAACTGATTATTTTAGTTTGTAATTCGTTTAGAGGTACTCTGATAGATTTGAAGAATAAAAGTAAAATTAATAGCTCCAGATTATTGTGTTATTTTTTTTATTACTTAGCAGAAAACTGACAGAGTTACTGGAATAGATTGGAAAGTGTAGGATGTCCACTAACATTTCTACTGGTACTAACAGGGTCAGGGGAAGGTTTGTGTGTTTCAAGGTGTTTTCATTTTCTTGAACAAGAGTGTGAACTGTCCTGAATGAACTGGAGCGTCAGCAATTCTATTATTAATTATGAATTACCTCACATTAATAAGGAGTGGTTTTTACTGACATAACACACAAAGAAGGGAAGTTTCCAATCAACCCTGGAGGGAGGAGTTGGGGAGGGTCGTTATTAATATAAATTCAGTTCGTTTATGACAATTATGTGAAACTTTTTTATTTCTTGATAGATGTAGGAAAAAAACTACTGAGCACTGTGCTTGAAGCTGTTCTTAAGTAGAAATACAGCTGCACAATTTATCCCTAGAGCATGCTGGCAAACTGTGTTGTGTCAAACACAGGATGCAGTCATAGTGAGTATTGCGCAAAAGTCTTGAGACACCGGTCTTTTCTTTTTAAATACAGGTATGTTTTTACTTGGTTGGCAATAATGTGTTTGTAAATACTATCATGCTGAAAAATGAAGCTGTTGCCAATCAGATGCTTTGCAGATGGTATTGCACGGTGGCTCAAAATCTGATTGTGCTTTTCTGCATTCATGATTCCGTCAATTTTGACAAGATGCTGAACAACACTGACTGAAATGCAGCCCAAAACCAGGACAGAGACATCATGTTTTACAGATGGTTCTAGACAATCTTTGTTGCTTGCTCCTGACCTCCTCCACTCTCCACAAATTTGGATTCGTCACTCCATAAGATCTGTTGCCACTGATTTTTAGTCCAGTTCTTTTCTTAACCTTTTCTCCCTGTTTCCCTTCTAAGAATGGCTTCTTGACCGCCACCCTTCCACTGAGAGCATTTCTGATGAGGCCTCAACAAACAGTAGACTGTGCAGATGCACATCTCAGGTCCCAAGTCAGGTGTTTGCTAGATTTGTTTCCTATTTCTCATGGACATGACTTTCAGGTGTGGTTCATCTGCTATAATTTTTCTTGCCTGTACACACCATGCTGTGATATGCCAAATTTTCAGCTAGCAGTACTTTGAAAATAACCTTTTTAGTGCAAAATTGCTATTTTATATCTCTCAAAATGTGTTATCTGTAGAATTTTGCATAGATATAACTGAAGAAACTGTAACAAATAATGCATTTTGGTGACAGGCTGCTTTGGTTCTTTGCTAAGTTGTCTGTTATGTGTAGACACAACACTGGTCCATTCGTGGAGTTGAGGTGCCTTTTGATCTTTGAATGATTCATAGGTCAGTGTTAAGTGGCTTAACAATCAAAAGAATTCTCAGGAAATAGCCAGCTACAAGGAAGAGACTGACAATGAGTGAAAAACAGCCAATTTCCAAAGAAAAGCTTTGAAAAATCTTCAGACAGCCTGAAGAACTACTGCTCAAGACAACTTTAAAAGATGAGAAGAAAGTTAAAATAGGACTCGAGACTCAAGACTTTTGCACAGTACTGTATATTGAACAGCTGTATATTATACAGTACTGTATATTAAGCTTAATTAAATCTTAACACTTTGATTAAATGGTATTATAAGATTTGAAGGAACAACACAAAGAAAATAACACATTGAACTTTCAGCTTATTGATCCACAGCTATTTTGTTTGTAGATGCTTTCAGAGAAAAAGAATCCTTCTGTAGAAATTCTTTACCTGTTTTTTACTCCTGCAGCAAATGAACATTTTAGGGAAAATCTATATATTTAGGACAAAGGTTTTCTCCCCGCTGATGTATAAAAGCAAAGTGTATGTGCAGATGCATGCTCACCCTGATACTGCAGAGGGATGTCAATTTTGGGACCAATTACATAGTGACCCTCCTCTAAGCTGTGGGCCGTCACTGTGGTCCACTGACGGCAGGAGTGTAAGAGCACCACATCGTCCTCTGACAGACCCTCCACACATTCACCTGCAGCAAACAAACACACACTCAGAAAGGAATAGGCAAATAGTGTGCAAGTCTCAGGTTTCTCAATTCTAAGGTCACACTTAGCAACTCAGCAGTGGAAAACATTAAAACACCCTCGTAAAAAGCACACATAATTACCACAATCAGTGATGGATCACCCCCCCGCTAACCTACTCATCAGGACCCTGCTATGCAACTGGCAACCTACAATTACACAGCCCCCATACACAAACACACAAACAGGGCAGTCCGGCTTTCACAAGAGCTGTGTAGCACAGTGGCATTGATTTCTGCTGATAGCACAGCAGTACAATTCAATCACGCAACACAATGTTACTCCCAAGCCTTTGAGTCAAACAATCATGTTGATAGATGGCTGACTATAAACACAGAAAAGGATACTTGGAAGAAATAAAGCACATTATCTACTGAAACAATGTTAACTTTCTTCAGGAAGTTTTGCTCATTCCAATTCAATGCTTCGTACTAAACTGTGATGTTAGTATGTCTTATATCGCTCTTGCCTGAGGATGTAGTAATTCTCTATTATCTTAACATTTCTCCCTGTTCAAAACCTCAATGTTTGGGCCACTGTTTTGTTTTAAACTTTGATTTTTGCACCTAGGTATTTCTTCAGTTGGGAGGGAGCTTTGAAAGGGTCTGTGATAAATGCCTTTTTGAAGTTTCCTTTCAATTTAGGAGAAGTGTTATACCCATTTATTTTTTTCTAGGTTCTGAGACAAACCCCACAAACACTTCCACTACTAACCACTCTGATATATTCTAAGGGAGTCAGACAGGTTGAAAACTTTCCTTGTGTAGCCTCAATGCAGTCAGTTGGGTGGCTATTTAATTTGCAGTCTGCAGCGTTCATATTGCAGCCCATCACACTCAATTACATCTTTACCCACTCTTGCCGGAGAACACACACACACACACCCCATATGGATAAACACTGTAGTTGTTTGTTGACGCTGCCCTGAAACGGAGCTGTCATCATGCCCTGCTGTAAATAACTAACTACCATCTGGGCTGGCTGGATATACAAAAAAGGAGGCATCACGAGTGGGGTAACTACAGTGCAGTTAATAAACACCTACGGGAGGTCTCTCTATGCGATGTTCAGGCGCGCTGCCGGGAGTAAAGTGCGTAATTTTTCCGGGACTGTGACACGGCTTCGGGTGCGCGCTTTTGTGCAGCGGGGAAACTTGGAGGGGTTTTTTCTTCTCCAGAGTTGCTTCTCGTTAGTATTCACTACATTCGCCGACAGATTACAGCATTTGCATATGAATAGAATTGAGCAGCACTTCAACAGCACAACAGATACTTTGTTGCTTTCCGGGCCTCGCTGAGACTGGAACAACTTTGGCCACGACACCCGTCGCCCGTTTCCAAATTAAAGACACCGAATCTGGTGAAGGTGAACGTGAAGGATCACGCTGGCAACGAAAAACATGAGGAATTAATAGAAAACTTGACACTAACGTTAAAACGCGTCTTGCCCGTGTCAGTGAACTAGTGCGGCACGGGTGCAGCGGGTGTATCAAGGTGGCCAGTCTGAACTAAAATATTAACGGAAACACCATCAGATTGGTTTCAAAGTAAGAGCAAGAACCTGGCACTGGCGACTGGGATCAACAATAAAACCTATTAACTCTTAATCCCGTATTACCATTGATGTATGTACTTATTTATTTATTTTTGTGACATAGACATGAGCTTCGTAACAAAGATATAATATACTGGACATGTAAATGAAAGCGTATGTTGAGCATGTAATATATCCTCTAATCTGTGGTGCCTTAAGTTTAGAGAAGTTTACTGTAATCGCATTTTAATATTAGCAGACCAGTAAAACACATTTATTTATTTATACTGTTTTTATTTAAAAGCCAATGTTTTTCTTTTAAATTCATTTATTTTAATCTGCTCTATTGCACTCATCTATACAAAACATCTGCCTAAATTAAAGAGCAATTCAATTCGTTGTGCTCATAGATTTGTTGGTTTTGCTCAAGTTAGCTGCTTACAGTTTTTTGCATTTCAAGTTTTCCCTCTTACTAAACGCGCTGACGAATGTGAACATTTATTTTGAAAGTTAAAACCGGAAAAGGTTTTTTTTTTCTGCCGACCTTGATGCCATTAAAGCACTTCACACGTTCTCCATTAAATTTGGACACTTGTTTTAAACCCCACCGAACGTTATACTCTAAAGCTTCCCACAAACACACTTTATTTATATTTTCACCCTTTTCTTCATTACTCGTCATCATTTTTCTTCACTAGCGTCACGGTTACGATAATTGTAGTGATAAGGAGCCTCAGCGTTAACTAACAACAGTTGGCAAAAGAATTCAACAACAAAAAAAAAGTGTAAAAAGTTTCTTATGGTCGTGTCGGAGGTAAAATCACCCAGTGAAGCAGGTTTCTGTCTCTTACCGTGGGCCAGGCGGACCAGAGTGGGCAGACGGAACTTGCTGACCACCGCGTCCAGCGGCAGCGCCAACGGGCTCCAAGTGATCTCCGACAGGCTCGCCGACAACTTCTCCATCCTCGCGGGTCATCACGCTACCGGAGATAACGGTGACGATGGTGGCGAAGATGGTGATGGCGTTGGTGGTGATGACAGCGATGGACTGGAGAAAGGTGAGGGTGACGGTGGTGGTATAATGGCAAAGAGTTTCGCCATGTTTGAATGTAGGAGAGAGGGAGCGGAGTCACAGTCGGTGCGCTCGAGAGGAGAGAGGGGGAGGGAGGGAGCGCGAGCCCTCTCTCGTTCATTCTCCCCCTCTATCAGCCACTGTTTGTCCACCACCACCCTCAGACATACAAGTGAATCCGAAACCCAGTCAAACTAGTAGTAGGACTCAAAATGATCAGAAAGGAGGTGAAATGCGCCGATGTCCACTCTGACTGTCCTGGTTTGTAACTCGTGTTTTTCCACTTTATTTATTACATCACTTTGTCCGCTGAGGTTAAACTGTGTAGGTGGTACATGATGTTAGAAGCAGGAACCTTTGGCAAGCATTAGGTCTGGTTTTCGTCAGCTGCAGATTTATTTTCAATACCCAAAAGCTTTTGGCCACAGATAGACCTCATCCACAGCCTGTCATTTACTATAATGATATACACTCCCTTGGCATCTCGTTGGGCACATCTGTCTTAAAACAATATAGTCTAATTCAGCAGCACTGCAGTAAGTACTGCCATCATCAAGGCTGTGGGCTTCAGTATTGCTGTAATAGTCCCCTAGAGTTTGCTTGTATGTTAACTGCAGTACAAACCTCCAAAATGATCATAACGTTCATAACTTTTTTTTTTAAACAGCTGTATGCATTAATTTCATCACCAGCCAAAAAGACGCCACACTTCCTCACACAGCACTTAATCTGTGGCCTGAGGCAGGACTCCAGTCAACTCATTCAGTTCACTGAACATAACTGTACACACAAACCTATTTATTTCCTATTGATTTTTTGTCAACACATCAGTCATGATGCTACAATCCACTGTGCAGCTGAACAGATGAGTGTGGACTTCACAAGAATAATGTAACCAATGCTGGATATACAATTGTAAGTTCTTAGCTTTATCAAGTGACCTCAGCACATCAAAAACCGAGATTCCTGGTTTCCAAGAATGACTGACCACTCTTAACACCCACTCATTGCCAAATATAGTAGTGCTGCAACTTATTCCCAATTCAGTTAGTTAAAATGCAAACCCAAACTGCGATTCACTGGCTATAAATAGCTCACTTATTCCCAGCTTTTCCCCTCCTCCTTCCAAAAGGAAACACTAAAGTGCAAAAGGATACAACTGTCCAAAACAGTACAGGCCTGACTAAATAATGAAAACCTTAATTGGGATGTGACAGTTCATTTTGAATTTAGAGTCTAACCATAAAGCAATGCAAGCTCAATATAGTTGGTGGACTTGCAATATTTGTATTACAAAGCATCAACAACAATGTGAATAAACTAGTCCCGCTTGTATACTTTTAAGAATGTATTGACCTCAATGTAATCATCAAGAGGCCTTTTTATTTAAAAACAGTGCAGACACTTAAGTCTTCTCATGGTTTTGTTCAGAGAAGAGCTTAAGGATCATTTATATACCCTTCTCTTGATTTGTGATCTTATTTTGGTTAGTCTTTGTGTGTCTACAGTCACCACAGGAAAAAGAAAATCTAGTGGTGTTGCTTTATGAAAAGAGAGAGAGAGAGAGAGCCAAATTAACCAAAGTTGAGGAAAACAACTTTATTTGTTCCATATTAACAAAAATTCTAATATGAAGCTGAGCCTCTGGATTGGGGGGTATTATTTCACAACAGGTGGAGGGTTGGTCTGCATGGTGGAAAGCTCAATGGTGGGGCTCTGGGAAAAAAAAATAAAGAGAGGAAAATGTTTAATCAGTAAAAGTCAGTAAGTCCTGTCCAACCATGCAAGATGAGATTACAGTCAATATATTGCAGCAACAAATATCACCAAGAAATAACAAGATTGTCCAAGTAACCGGCTAGTGACATCTGGAGGTAAACACATGCAACAGCACACCATCTAACAGAACAACTTGACTTTTTCCAGAGTGGTACAGATCATGTTCATTGCTCTACCACTCAATCTCAGATCAAGTCTAAATCAGATTTTTCATTACATTTACACATTCACAAATATTTCCTCTATTCTAAATATGACAGTGGTCACCAACAGCAACTTTAAGCCATTTTCTTATATACAGCTCATTCTGAGTAAGTCTGAATCTGTGTTTTTGCACCACTTTATGGTGTCCTTGGTTACAGCTGTAATTGTGCGCTTTTCACAAACTAACCAGATTAACTAATTTACAGCTTCATTTTAAATATATGTATGGTGGCCTGTGAATGGGAATATTCATTTTAATGAATTTAATAATGGGTTGGCGATCGTGGCTCAAGAGTTGTGAGTTCGCCTTGTAATTGGAAGGTTGCCGGTTTGAGCCCCGGCGTGGACAGTCTCGGTCGTTGTGTCCTTGGGCAAGACAGTCACCCGTTGCCTACTGGTGGTGGTCAGAGGGCCCGGTGGCACCAGTGTCCGGCAGCCTCGCCTCTGTCAGTGCGCCCCAGGGCAGCTGTGGCTACAATGTAGCTTGCCATCACCAGTGTGTGAATGTGTGTGTGAATGGGTGGATGTGTAAAGCGCTTTGGGGTCCTTAGGGACTATTAAAGCACTATACAAATACAGGCTATTTACCATTTACCATAACTCATCTTTGTCACAAAGATTTTTAGTGACTGTCATGGTATATTTTATGTTGTATTATGTGTCTTAAGATGGAAATATCAAGATAATCTGGCAATTAAAATAGCCAATACAGTTAATATTCTTGTTAAGCATTACTGAATGAAAATAAATGCCACATAGTGCTTACAAAGCTCAGTGGCGATTTGGTATAGCTCCCAGCACTGCAGACAAACTTATGTCACCACACTTAAAGTCACATTTCTTGAACTTGAATTATAGTATTGGTAAAATAAGTTAGTACTTACTGTCCTTCACAGCCTTCTTCTTGCCTGAGATGACAGAAAACAAAAAAGATTTGTTTAACAAATACAATGAAACAACCCATCTAGATTGTCAGTAATACTTTAATGATTTTTTACTAACAGCTTTTCAATAAAGGACCAAAGCATTCACATAGCAGTAAAATACAAATTGCAATTAAGAGACTGTATGAAAGCACCTCAGAAATCACACAAAAGCAAATATTCATTTGAAGATTTTGGCATAGAAACTGCAGACTGATGCCTAACAGGTTGTTTCAATCAGTCTGTTTACTAAAAAAAAAAAAAGGCAGTTACAATACAGGTTCAAAGGGTCATTTTAAGTTTGCATGTCATATTTTATCTGCACTTCTAGCAGATGACATCTAATATAATGTTATAAATAATAATAATAATAATGAAGTTTTGAACTCACCCCCATAGGAAACTTTGTAGTACAGGTATGTCATGATGCCAACACCGGCCCACATCTCTTGGTATGCCTTAGTGTAGTAAGGGCTCATCAGGGACCACCAGCTTGCAAACGCACGTCCAGCCATCTGAAGGAGGAAGCAGCAGCAAAGTATGAAATTACAGGTAATGTCCTCTGTTAAAATCCTCAAAAAACAAAAACAAAAAAAAAAAAACCCCACCCCGCATAATCTGAATATCTAACCCGAAGCTGCATGAACACTAAACTAACATTCAGTCAGCACCAATTTCGACTATAGCTAACTCTCAGAAGCCATTTAATCAGAAATTAATTCGCACAGAGTGACACCTTAACCCTCAACACGGAGGTCTATCTGATGACTATGGCCACCAAAGAAAAGATGCGTTAAAGAAACATTTTTCTAAACTTTATAATACTACTGATTAACTGACTTGTTGGGTTAATGTCCCTGCTGATACCGACCTGCCTGCTAGCAAGCTTTTAGTTACCCGTTCCGTGTAACAATAAATACATACATGTCGCTAATACGAGAAAAAAAGAGAAAGTTTACACGTAAATAAATAACAGTTTAGCGCGAGAAGCTAACTATTTCATTCAATAAAACGCCCCGTGACGGACAGATTAGCATCTTTTCTGTAGAACTACGAAGAACGCCAACTAGCCTTAGCAAGACGCTAGCTAGCAAGAAACACCTGGAAAGGCAGCATATATGTCCACAGTTAGTCATCCAGCTTTATTTTAAATACCTATCGTGATGCACTGAGTGTTGTTATGTTATCGTTAAAGTAACCTTACTAAATAAAAATGAAATCCACCCTTACATTTTAGTTTGTCACGCTGCAGAAGGAAGGTCAAGACAGCGCTGCTGCTAAACGTCAAAGTCGTGGGGGAAAGCTTCTTCTACTTTCAACAGCGTAGTACTTCCGGTACGTTTTTGCTCCGTAGTGCCACCGAATGGAGGGACCGGTTTGAGACAAACTAAGCTTTGTGACACGGTGCATTTTCCTGCTGAAAGCAGCCATGGGTACACTGATCATAAAGGGGTGGACATGGTCAGCATTGATACTCAGGTAGACTGTGACGTGTAAAAGATCTATAATATATATATATCTAGTTATACAGTATCTATAGTAATAGTTTATCTATATGTTATTGTATATTTTTTCTAGATGTTATTGTATATTTTTTCTAGTAGATTTATCTTTTTAAGGTCTGCAGTAATGTGTAACTAAATATTTAAAATAAGTGGTATGGTCTGCAAAGTGTACTTTTTGCATTGCAATTGCAAGCCTAGCCTCATATTGACTATTTCTTGCATTCACTATTTCCTCTTCAGTCACCTTTCTCACTCACTATGTGTAATTAGACCTCTCTGCACTGAATCATACTTGTTATTAATCTCTAGCTTTCTTCCACAGCACGCCTTTTATCCTGTCTTCCTTCTCTCAGCCCAACTGGTCGCAGCAGATGGCTGCCCCTCCCCGAGCCTGGTTCTGCCACAGGTTTCTTCCTGTTAAAAGGGAGTTTTTCCTTCCCACTGTCGCCAAAGTACTTGCTCATAGGGGATCATATGATTGTTGGGTGTTTCTCTGTATGTATTATTGTAGGGTCTACCTTACATTATAAAGTGCCTTGAGGCGACTATTGTTGTGATTTGGTGCTGTCTAAATAAAACAGAATGGAATTGAACTGAATTGAATATTCATAATCAGTTGATTATTGCTTGGTAAGCCAGAAGTATGTTTTAAGATAAGATCAAATGTTAACAGTTGGCCCGGTTTCTTTGCGTTTGAGTTCTTGACAACCCATGCGTTTAAGTAGACAGCAACTTATAAGTGTTAAAAGTCAGCGTACTGAGCTGGAAGACTAACTTCCTAACTTTAAATTTTAACTCTCAAAGTGTACCTTGTCTGCGTTTAGCTAAAGAATAGCAGATAAACCTTAAAGCCTGCTCCGCTTTCAAACATTACCTTTTTCTGCCACAGCCATAACAGGTGGGAATTTGAGGTAAGGGTGCAGCTGCCGGGGCACAAAGACTTTCCACTGCTCACCATAGTGAAATAACAAATAAAACACTGGCACCTCTCTCAAGGGTAAAAATGGCATTGTGTTTCATGTTCTCCCGTTTAAAGCTCCTACCTTCTCTTTAGGTGAGACAAGTAAATAACAAGCAATGAGACATTTTAGCTCACGATATGGTGATTATTCTTTTCAGGTCAGAAATTTTGTAACTGTGCTTCTCCCGGTCATCCATGTGTTTTACACTCAATATGAAACCTGATGAGAAAGATTATTCACTGCTCACTGTTGGAATGACACTACTTTCCTAGTGATTCCTATAAAAAATATTTAAGTAGAAGCACTTTTGATTCCTGAAATACAATTATTTGCTTTAATAAATAGAGCTGAACACTAAAGAAGCTCACCTTACGATTTTACAGTGTTTGATTGTTTTGTAGCCAAAGGCTGCTGGGTTTGTCTGAGAGTCTGCGTAAATGATTTGCTTATACAGCCAGACAGGGCGGGACTTTCCACTCTTTGCTGTTCTCTCCCACCAACAAGCAAAGCACCTTGTTTCATTTATGAGCACTAAAGGCCATATCCTATTTGAGGACACTCAACACTGTTTTGCCATATTCAAAGGACACAGCTGAGGAGATTTATTGTACACTCTTAACTCTCATCTGGGTTCTTCACTGCCATGCCCTGCAGTAGCTGTCTGCAGTGACTACAGCCCTGCTTACAGGTATGTTAAAGATTTGTGACCAGGTCATCTATTTTTGTATGTCTACACTATGGCAGTGTGTTGGTAGCTCATTATGGACGCCAGAGTTTTTACTTTTTTCAGCTCAGAGAGTGTGTGCCTGAGCCTGTCTGCCTGCAGAAAAGCAAGGGTGTGGATAGGTGTGTTCCTAACATGACTAACCAGTGAGTAGAAAAATATTTTAGAAGAAAAACCTCAGTGTTGCGGTCTTCCCCCCGAGCAGATGATTTACTAATATTTTTCTCCTAGACTTTCCTGAAGTCAATTCTGGGCTCTGCTGTGGAGACTGCATGGCTTCAGGTGAAGCAGAAGAAGGCGATGGAGGGATTCCACTGGACATCGACAATGTGCACATGCTTCTCCAAGGTCAGGCTATTTTTGCACTTACATAGATGTTGTGACATGTGATGTGCTGTCGCAGGGAGTCACTGTGGTGGTGAGCAACTCTCTGAGATCAGCTACTCATTAAAGACCAATCATTTTGGAGAAACATTACAAAATTGCATAGATAAAAAAATTCTGCTTCACTTTATTTTCCATCACAGTTACTTGTGAAGTTAGCATTCCAGTTCTAAACTACAGAACTGGAAGTGTAATGAAAGTGAAAGTGTGAA